CCCCACCCCCAACTCCAACTCCAACTCCAGACCCTCTCTCATCAGCACCCTCTCTCCCTGCAACCTCCCAAATGTGTTACAATTGCGTTTTATTTATTTATTTTAATCTTCACCCAAGGATAATTTTTCCATTGCTTTTCAGAGAGAGTGGAAGGAGGGGGAGAGAGAGAGAGAAAGAAAGAAAGAAGCATCGATGTGATGTGAGACACATCAATTGGTTGCCTCCTGCATGCGATCCGACTGGGGCTGACCCTGCCAGCGAAGCGCGTGCCCTTGCCAAGAATCGGAATTGGAATCGGAATCAAACTGGGACCCTTCAGTCCCTGGGCTGAGGTTCTAACCAGTGAGCCACACCGGCCAAGGCTACAGCTGCATTTTATGATCTGCTCTCTCCTCTAGGCCAATTCCAAAGCCCACATGGAGTCCTATTTCCTCCACAGGTTTTTGTCCGAGTTATTCCAGGCTTTACTCATCTCCTTCCTTTTCTCTCCTCTGCCTTTTTTATTGTGAGTCATAAACAATAGTAAATTCAGCTATGTGTACAGTTTGACAGATGGTTGTAAAGAGAACACCCAGACAACAGCACTCAAATGGCAAATGGAAAATTCCTGAATCAGTGGGAGCCCGCCCCCTGTGCCCTCTGCAACCCATTTTCCAAGGCTTACAGCCCAGCACATACAGTCACTAAAGACCATCTTGCTTAACCCTGTGGCTCAAGTATGTTGGTTCTGTTCCTGCTCAGTCCTGGGCCCTGGGAGGGCAGGCTCTGTACAGAGTGCTTTAGAATTCAGCACTCAAGCAGACCCCACAGCACCAAGCAGACCGGCTATTCACAGATGCTCACTGCCTGATTACAGAGGAGAGGCGCAGCCCCGAGGACAAGCAGCGTGTGTGACCAAGAGCTCACGCTGCCGCATCTCAGCCTCCTGGGAACCTCGGAACCAGCCTGGCTCCCCTGTGCTGCTTTCTGCACTCGGTGGCCTTTCCCTCCACGAGGGCTCAGCCGGCTTGGGAATTTCTCTGGGAATTTCCAAGTTTGCAAAGCACAATGAGGAGGAATGTCTTGTTGGGGACCAGAAGTCCACGGCAATGGGACAAAGCACGAGGCACCCCTTCCATTCCAGTCAGAGAGCGGCTGCGACAACGGAGCAGACAGTGCCTGCGGGCATCTGTCCATATGCACGTCTTCATAGTACACGTACAGTGTTTGCGAAATCCTTATGATCTGCCTGAATGTAAATATTTACAGCATAAACCAGTGCATACTGTGAACAGCTATTTTTCTATGATGAAATGGAAACAACAAAATTCGCCTTAGTGTCTTTGGGTCAATGCTATAAAGCTCTGGGCTTCAGTTTCTTCTTTGATATATATAATGAGGTGTTTGGGTTAAATAAGTTTCCTTCTAGTTCAAAGGTCTATCATTAAGCTTTCATTTTGCAATCAAATTTCCAGCCCACAAAGAAGGCCAGAAAAATGTTAGGAAAAGTAATGTCATATTACAGTTACTGCCACTGAGTTCTGAATTCTGTAGTCATAGTTTGATTAGTGGTAGTCTGTGAATGGAGTTGTTTATTCTCCTAACCAAGGAAGAAGTAACACCCAAATGCTTGTTTCACCGGGACCTGTTGTCTTTAGATTTTTATCACTTAAATGTAGCAGGAAAAATTCCCATTGGTATTGTCCAAAGGAAATAAAACAATTCACTTTTAATAGCAACAAATTAGCTCAGCCGGAGTCTGGGGCGCCACACCTCTGGGGAAGGACGATACCTTGAAAAAAAGGCCAAAACCCTTTCAAAGTCTTTGCCATATCAGAAGCTCCCATTTTTCACTGGAAGTTCCCCGGATTCGTGGAATTCAAAATGTCCAAAGGTTCGGATCTGATGAAAACTGAAAGAAAATTCCTTAACACTTGTGTTTATCAGCACATGAAAGAACCAAGTTTAAATGCTGGTGTGGGCGAGTTGGGGCGGATGTGAGACACTCTGAGACCAGGTCTTTGCCTCAACTCCCATCAAGTAGGGAAATAAATCCAACCCACGGCCAGGAAGGGCTGCACCTCTCTGCAGTGAGATGAAGGCAAATTAATCCCAACAGCAGTGAAATCAGAAAAC